TAAACTAAGCAAACGTGCATTACAAAACGGTCATTGAAGTTTCACAATCAACCAACTATAAATACTTAAGTTGGAATGTGAACAACACTAGTCCGGAGCTTGAAGACGACGAGTGCATGATTGTATGATTACTTTTCTCCGTTTTTGTGGTCTTTTATTTTCACTTTTGATTGCTTTATGCGGAGTGGCGAGGGGGAAAGTAAAAAGATTCCCGGTTCGGATCGCCGATAAATTCTCAGTTAAACTAGCCTTTTATAATTTTTAATAAAATTAATTATTGACGCATTGAATTGTCTTTCTTCCTATATTGACAAATCGGCCTGCGCCAAGAATGCATTTTAATTCTTTTTTGGAAGAAACATGAACGTGGGTTTAATAATGAACAAAAGGAAAAGGACATCGTGGGTTTAATTTTGGGCAAGAAAGATGTTGTTTTTTGGCCGTAGGGCTTTTACCCAAGAAAGAAGGGCAGCCACATTGAAGTTATATTTCTTACCAGCATCCAACTTGATTAGTAGGATCTTCACCATTGTGAATCAATAGCTAAGAGGCACTGAAGGCTCAAAATGGATACTGTCTAACTCTCCAATGTACCATATCTGCCCATTCAATATGAAGGAATTATAGTTTACAGAATTCCCCTTCAATTGGATGCCATTCTAGGCTTTGGAAGACATTAAATCACAGTTTCAGAACTTCAAAGTTTCACAATCAACCAACTTTCAGTAAGAATAGTCTTACATAATTATGATTTTCACTATTGCCCAAATACCCAACTCATTGTTCGAATCAAATCATCAACAAACCTCTTCTTCTTCTTTATCTTTCCCTTCCTTGAAAAAATAGTTTATGAGTACACGACAATACTTTTTTATTTTTCATTTTTAATTGTTATTGAATGAGGAGTATATTTGTAAATTTATTGTAGTGTATTTATTAAAAAATTATTTTAATTATGGTGTGATTATAATGTGCTGTACTTAAAAATTTTATGGTGATAATATAATTATCCTTTTTTTTTTTTTTTTGTTAAGGTGAACAAAATTTTTATATGACTATAATTTGGGATTGGTCTGTTCGAGTGATGAAGTAAGATTGAGTTGATGAATATAGCTTTCGTTTAATGGTCATTATTTGAAAATTCTTTTTTTAAACACTCATTTTTAATCACGTATTCATATAATAAAATATACTATACATAAATCTAAATTTTTTTCCATATTTTTTTAATCACACATTCTCCTAAAAAAATTATTATTCAAAACATTATTTTTCTCAAATAATGACCATCAAACACATACATAGTTCTCAATGTCTCTATATACTATATAATTCGAAAATCATTTAAAAAAAAAAGATAAATCTATCCTCACACAATAAAATAAACAAATTTATAATCTCCTATTCCCCCTATCCAAAATTCTGAAACCACTCAATCATGTCCTAATAAACGCAAACATAAATTGAAGCAAAACATTAATAAAAGATTAGGGTGCAAAGCAATACCGAACCTGACTATAATGGAAGAATGGAATTTGTGTGAAAAGAAGATGAATTACAGTGAATTGAATTGTCTAAAACTTGTTTTATTGAGAATTGTTAATTGATTGTGTTCGATTAGTATAATTTTTCACCTGTAAAATATTGAAATTTTGGATCTTTTGGTATTTGTTTGGCTTTGTTTTTCATGTGAATTGTTCATTAAAGAAATATAATTTATTATAATTGAGGATAAAATTTGTTTCCATTGCCAAAAAAATAAAAAGTTGTCTAGAAAAGTTTTTCCCCACCACTCAAAAAATAAGAAAATGTGAGCATGTAGGTGAAAGATAGAAAACCAATTACACGGAAAAATTGAATAATCAAACATGCAAAAAGGTGGAAATTAGAATTTAATTTTCATCTTCCATGGAATTGAAGTGCAATCAAACATGCCTTATTTTTTTTTCCTTTTTCTCGTTTTATCTCTTTTTTTTCTCTTGTCATTTCTTTGCCTTTTCATTCTTCAACTTTTATAATCCCTATCTCATAATTCAACTTATGCAAATTCTCTAGCTTACATGTACAGACTTGACAGTAATATTCAAACTATAATGTTTTTATTTTAATTTTTTGCCATTTTTTTATTTTTGGTATTTTTCAATTTCTTCTTTTTTTAAAATTTTGGTATGAAAGTATTAAATTGATCAGAGTTTTTTTTTTTACATCTATATCCATCTAATATGAAAGTGAAGCATTAATGATTATTGAAAAGATTACTAGAAATAAATCCAAGGACATTTTACACATCAATCGGTCATCATCTATATCATATCTAGCATTAATGATTATTGAAAATATTACTAGAAATAAATCCAATGACATTCTACGATGTGGTCATCATAGTCTTAATCTTGCATTTTGTGATATGACAAATTCCTTTATTTATTGGAATTGTACAATGCATATATTATTTTTCATTTTCTACAAAGCGATTGAAATCTTTTCAAGATAATGTGAAATGTCGATACTTAACTACTATCACAAACACGTTAAGAAAATCAATTTGAATGTGTTAAAAAGTAATAAGATTTCAAAGGTCACAGATAAAAACACTTTAAAATACTTGGTGGAAACGCGTGATGAACATAAGACATTTAGGGATACTACAAGTTTATTTTTTGACATTGTGGATTTAAGTTCTTATTAGACATAGTTATTTGATACAACATATTGTTTGTCATTAATAGATTAACTCCCTATTTGAGCCATATTCAAATTTTCATTCACATTCTTCTACTTATTTTAAACTACACATTTTTCAATAAAATCATATTTTTCATCACATCAATAATTTGTCCTTCTTTTTCAACCACATATTCTTCATCAATCTACTATTCCAAAATATATTCTTCCAAAATAATGTGGCTCATACACAAGTAAACTATTGCAAAGTGATGACATGTCAATTGAAGCTGCTATTGAATACTAAAAATCACTTATTTTATTTTTTTAAAACATAGAAAGAAACTAAATTTGAATTTAACATGATTAATGTTAAATAATTACTGTTCAAATGAAAGTTGAACATACATTTCATGAAAAAATGAATTATTCATAAAAGAAACTTTTATAAATATATCAATGATGAGATAAGACATTCAGCTGAAAAATCTTTTATAGTTGATTATTTTTCATA